CATTGATTCATCCTTAGATGTGCTTTCACTGGAAACTCCTAGGTCCATAATAGGTATCTCGACCGGAACGGCGATAGGCACTATGGTATGACGTCTTCCCTAGAAAGCAAAATCTTAGCCTAAGCAAAAAACCTCAAACGCTCACCTTCTTTGGTTCGGTACTGGGCTTTGGAGCAGGCGCAGGTTGTTCAGGTAGAAAAGACGAAGGTGTAAGTAAGGAAGTATCAGATGCATCTGCACTCTCTACGCGTTTCGAAATTCGTCTTCGACGAGTCTGAAAAAGGCACGGCATGAACTCGTAAAAAGATATATGGGAGTATGCTTTTGTGAGAATCGTCACTGACTTTGAAAAATGTAAAAATGAAGAAAAAGAAAGCATAAAAGTACACTATGTTAAAAAAAATGAGGGAAGTATGAAAAAAAGTAAGCTATTCTATGTTAAAAGTAGAGAAAATAAATAAATAAACTGATTTGTCCAAAAAATGGCAATACTTTCTGAGCGAACATTACCTTCCCAGTCGCCGACGGTGAGCTCACGATATCCTCTGCGGAACTTACAGATGCCGTAGACGACTTTTCTGATACATCCATCCTAACTGGAACATCTATTGTTCTTCTTCTGGGAAGCTAAAATCACGCAATCGAGCATATCACTGCAAAATCTTCCGTAAGCTATCTCTAGCTCACTTTGATTACCGGAGCTGATGGTTTGGGCTTTCTTTTAGGTTTCATGGCCATAACTGGAGGTGATGCTACTATGGGTGCAGGTGTGAAAGGAGCCGCTCCGATGTCAGCCATTCTTACGACGGGTGCCGCAACTTCTTTGTCGTCTTCATCTGAGGGAAAAATTATCAACATTTAGATGGAAGCCTAATAGCGGCTACATACCATCCGATGACTGCACACTCAAGACTTCCTCTTTGACGACTGGTGCCTTGCGCGCTTTGGCAGAGGAACGAGGAGCGCTGGTTGTCTGCAAGATAATTTGTAGTAAAAGGAGAAAAAAAAACATAATAGAGCAGTATCATGCAAAAGCAAAATAGCAAAAAGTGAAAAGGAGATAAAAATAGTAAAAAAATCATACCTTAGTTTTAGTGACCGTAACCGGTGGAGGGTGGAGGATGGGTGTAGGTTGGAGGATGGGCGGAGGGTTTACGACCGGTAACTCCTGCGGAACGACGGCTGC